AGCATTGCACGTCTATGGTCCGAAAAAACGTTTCTTAGAGTGGAGAATAAATGTAACTGTAGCTCCTCTACATTGCTTTTATGTTATACTGTCATGTTATACTAATATGTCTATTGAACTGCTGTGAAGCGAGTTTGGCTACAATTCTTGTATAAAATGTGCTATACAAATATAAAGCTTATTAATAATTGTAATATTATTATTATTATTATTATTATTGTAAATGACCTTTAATATGTCTAACTATATTTAAAATGAGTTACCTTTTAGAGAAGTGATCATGTTTGTATGCCAATATTTTCCTATGGTAAAGTTTTCGTTTTGCACTTTTATTTTGATAGTAATAAGATCGGGACTCTTATTTTGCAGGAACCTTTACCGGTTAAATCGGTTTACTGATAAAGATTTAGCCCCAGAAAGCACATGGCTACTTAGCATGCAAAATGACGTATTTCTGCATGTTAAGTAGCCATGTGCTTTCGTGTTATCGGCTGAATCTTTATTTATTGATTAGATCTCGTCACTCTGATGATAGTGTTCATGACAGCCATGTCTGAACGCGATCCTTAGAGTAATGTGTTACAGAGCCTTCTCTTCAATATTGTTTCCACATAACGAGCATTTTGCGCTGCTCTTTTCCAATGTGGAAGCAGAATGTGTGAAAGCATACAGCACGATGTGGGGTGTGTCTCTAGACATCTTTAGACTGGAATAGCGGGGCCCAGTCCGTGAACTCGCCTCACAGGTGCACACGCCAGGATAGAGGACGTCAGACTCCAGAGAAAATGGGCTCAAGTCTGAGTCCCAGTCCAAGTCATCGTGGGGGGAAACATTCACGAGTCCAAGTCAGCGCAAGTCTGAGTCGCGTCATTCAGTGCGCGAGTCCGAGTCGAGTCACGAGATCCGAAAATCGGCACTCGAGTCCGAGTCCAGGACTCGAGTACTCCATCTCTGGGCTGTGAATCATGTGTATGATTTAATAAATGCCCACACCGGGTTATATTTTTGGACGTTCTGCCTCCTTGCTTGGTCGGGCACTCAATTGTCAGCTTCACACCCATTTATACATTTGTTAGCAACTGCCGTTTTTATGACTCACAGAAGCTTCCGACATTCACCAGTGGGGGATTTACTGAGCCATCTTAGGTCATATGTTAATCACAGACCTTATTTCAGGTATCTAGACAGAAAGACATTGCCGCTCATGGGCAGTGAGCTGATGGCCTTTGTCCTAGCTAGTTTATAGTTTAGCTCAATAAAGTGAAAGCACTATATAAAATCATTTTAGTTTTGTCTGCTGAGCCAGGTTAGCTGTCTCTGTAATATACTGAGTTGTAGTGTCTAATAAAATATAACACGGCTAGATAGTCTTATGTTTAGGAGCTCTTATTTATCCAATTAAGCCTAATGGATTGATTGTTAAAGTAAAAGTTCATTTTGGGGATTATGTTAGCTTTGAGAGTGAGAGTTAAATCAGAAATTCAGTCTCATATCTGTGTGTCAGCAATGGATGTCAGGAGATGGTTAGCCTAGCTTAGCATATAGCTTGAAGTAGGGGAAACAGCTAGCCTGGCTCTGTTAAAAAAGAAACACCTCATTAACTAAAAAATATACACTGTTAAACTTTTCATGTTAATATCATAGACATTCTCATTTTGTAAATCATCTCAGCAGTCAGCAGTCCGACCAGCATCTGGTATGTGACCATTTCCATGGATACAAATTCAAATCCCAAGCGTAATATACTTCAAAGCTAACCTGCTAGCATTGAAAAAAACTCAGTCGTGTCCAAGGCAAAGACATGAGATCGTCTAAGAGTTCGACAAACATCAGTCAAATGTCATTTTGTATAGCCGACCTTCATCATTTTAGGTGAAGAGTTCTTTGCTCAAAGGCCCTAAGCAGTAGTTTTAAAGGAGGAGGATTCAAAGTTGCTCAATGCCCTCCCACCTTTTACGGACCAATCCCTCACCTCCTCCTCCTCCTGTACTTAGTCCTCTTCCTCTTTCCTGCCCCCCGAGAACACCCCCTCCAGTGTCCCCATCCCATTCTTTGTCATCTCTCCGGGTGAATTCCCAGCTGACTCTATTTGTCATGGCAACCAACCAGTCGTGGTGACTGGGCCTGCAGCTCACACTTCCTGTGTGTGTGTGTGTGTGACACACTGCGCATGCGTGTAGACAGCAACTGGCTGCATGAGCCTGTCATCCTGGATTAGAGTCAAACATACTGCAGCGACTCCTTTCTTCTATTTAACGTTCTTTTTGCTGCCTTTCTTGCTTTGCACTAATAATGACACCATCAGATCGTTTGATTCAATAAAGGGATCTGTTAACGCAATTTAAATGTATGTTATGTAAAGAGAATGGACCTTTGCTAATGCACTGTATGTCTCGTGCCACCACTCTGCCCAGCCCCCCCAATAATATACCATTTAGACGGACTCTGTGCGCGGGTCATGGGTCTATCTGTTTTAACTGCATCAGCTGACCTTCCTTCACCATCCTCTCCCCGACCCGTCAGACGCTGTCCTGCTTTGGAGAACTAGCGTACGGAAAACAGGAATGGAAATACTGACACCGACCTTTTTACCTTTTGTCTTTTAACCAATTTATGGACAAAAATTGAGGGGAATTAATATAAAGTGTGGGTTACAAAGAGAGACGGACAGCCCAAAAGGTGAACCTGAAACAACATTTATTTTATAGTACATTATGGATACAATAATTTGCTTTATCAGGCATTCCGGAGTGAGAATCAGGTTGACTCCAATGTGGGTCAAACAGCGTGCTATCTGAAAGTGGTATAAGTGACCCAATGTGCAATTCAGATATGGCAGGAGGGTGGAGGATGGAGTGGGGTGGGGCTTCAATATTGCCTATGTTCATGTGGTACAGCGGGTAACGCTGCTATTACATAACCAGTGTGTGTGACTGTGCCGGCGACAGTATGCAGTGGTGAGCCTTGCTGTGCAGCTGCCCTTGGTTTCAACCATCAACGTATGTTGTTTTTGTATCTCCTATTGCAATAAGCTTGTTGTGTTTAAGCAGTTTTTTAAATCACCATGGTTAAGCTGCTGGGTTGCAGTATATACACTTCTCTGGTGGTAAACATGTCACATTTCAGTTGGGCGAGATGTTGTATAACAATTATGATCTAATGCTGAGAACCAGGAAGGCTAATGGATTTGTCATAATGTACAAAAACCCCAATGGCCAGGTGTATATATTTTTTGCAATAACAGAATAGTTCATGAACAGAAAAGTATGTTAAATGTCACCATTCCAGGCCACAGGGGTTTGTGGTTACAGAATGACATCATAAAATTTTTTTTAACGCAAGAGCTTAAAGGATGAGTTGATTAATTTATTTCCAATCAACAGGAAGCTGAATGGCAATTACTTTTATAAAGCTTAAATAGTTTTTTATGCAAAAAGGACAAACATTTGCATAGATTTGGGAAATGTTGAAGGTCAATCTTTAACTGATAGAACTAAATGATTAATATCGAAAACATTTGATTGTGTTCTTGAATTGCCTTGTTATGTTTCTGGTTGAGCTGTAACTAAAGTCTCTCCGATTTTGTGTTTTCTAGATATATGTTCGGTAAAGGTGCGAAGCGGAAGCTGGGCGAGGATGAAGAGGGGTTGGAAGGCAAAACGCTGGAGGGGTCGCTGGCGGGGGGGGGCTTCGGCTTCTGTCCAGAGGGCCTGTCCAAGGTGTCGTACACCCTGCAGCGGCAGACCATCTTCAACATCTCCCTGATGAAGCTGTACAGCCATCGGCCCCTCGGGGAGCCCAGCCTGGAGCGCCGGGTCCTCATCAACAACATGCTGCGCCGCATCCAGGACGAGCTGAAGCTGGAGGGGTCCCTGCGGCCCCTGCTCCTCCCCCCCTCTCCACCGCCCGACGACCCCATGGACGAGGGCTTCCGTGAGGCGCCATCTTCCTTTGGTGTTCTGTCAGTGCAGGTATCCCAGCCTTCTGCGCTGCTGACGCCGGCGATCGTTCCACCGCCTTCCCCCCACCCAATGGTGCCTCCCAACTGCCAGGCATCCCAGGCCTGCCCCAACCATGGGGGGGTCTGCCTCGCCCCTCTGGAAGCCTGCCTCACACCAGCCTCTTTACTAGAGGAGGATGGTACAGATTCCCCCTTTTGTACTCCCACCCCACCCACTCCTCCAATGTCGCCACCCACGCCGCAGCCTCCCCCATTACCTTCGGCACTTCTGAGCCAGACAGCCCCCCGGGTCCCTGCGCCGGCCTCGTCCAACGACTGTTTACCCTCCGCTCTGAGTGACATGGAGTTGGCTCCTCCCACAGCCATAACAAGGACAGCAGCAGCTAAGGCTAATACCGAGACTACCTCCCTGGCTCCCACGCCACTCACCCAGCCCTTAGAAACGCTCTCCCCTGCTCACAAAGGCCTACCAAGAGACTGCAGGACTGTGGGAGTTAAACTAGAGGCAGATAGCGTCTTGCTAGCTGATGCCCGTTGTGCCGAGCTGCGGCCGATGGACACTCTGCCCACACTGCCCCCTGCTGGCCTGGCAGACATTTCCTCCTCCTCTTCCTCCCCCTCGGGATTCCTCTCAGACTTGGCACTGGACGACGTTCTGTTTGCCGACATCGACACGTCCATGTATGACTTTGACCCCTGTACGACGGGGGGGGCTGTGGGCGTGGCGGCAGGCGGCATCACCAAACTGTCGCCGGTGGTGACGGCGGACGACCTCCTCAAATCGCTGGCTTCGCCATACAGTGGCCCCGCCCCCCAGGTTTCAGCCAATCAGCCTTTCAAAATTGATCTGACAGAACTGGACCACATCATGGAGGTGTTGGTGGGGTCGTGACTGACGGACTCCGTCACCACGGAAACACTCAAGACAGATTCATACAGACAACAGACTGGAATGAACATTTAGGAATCGATTTTGGCGTATTCCTGTTTGTTGTTTTTCTTTGTTTTAATAGGGTCGGTAATTGTAAACATCGATTGTGATGTCAATTAGTACTACTATGACAACTACTCCTACACATTACTGTGCATGCACTGTGCTCGCCTTTCCAAATATGGAAATGAAGTAACCGGGAAACAAAGACATACACACGTTTGTATTTCAATACTTGTGAGGACCTCTATTGACTCCATTCATTCCCTAATCCTGATGTTAACTTTATCCTAATTTAAAATCTTTAACCTTAATAACCCATACCTAAGCCTTAAACCTAAACTGTAAATAGAAAAAAACACGAGGACTGGCAGATCGTTCTCATCATGGGGGATCTTTGCAGTCATGCTGTCCTTTTATTTGACCTCACAGGTATAGTAATACAAGTGGAACACACACACACACACACACACACACACACACACACACCATGTATACATCACTTCAGGGGACATTACATTGACCAACACATGCCTAACCCTTATCCTTAAACTTACCCTAAACCTAACCAAGTCTTCACCCTAAAATTAATGATTCCCCTCATGGGGACCTCCATTTTGTCCCCATAAAGGAGGTGAGTCATCACACGTGACTGTATAAACAGATTTAGGTCTCCACAAGTATAGTAATGCTAGGCCACACACACACACACACACACACACACACACACACACACACACACACACACACACACTGAATCAATGACTTTTTAGCAGATGAGTGCCTTTCAAAATGACCACTTCTTCAATTCCTGTTTTTACAGTATTTTTTTTTCTAGTTATTTTCACTTTAACAGCCTTGAGAGAGGTAACTCCTCGATGTTCGTTTTTTAATTTAATGTATTGTATGGTGTTAAAACTATTATTAAGTAAGGTAATTTCTCATGATCAAATAATAATAATGTAATTTTTATCTTATTACAGATGTTTTAGCTTCTTGTAAAGCAAGCATAATGAGGTTTTAGGAGGAATGCGTTGTTTTATGTTAGCTCAGCTATATAATCACGCTTTGGGATAACTCTGAAACACATCGCCGGGTTATTTTTTACATTTGTTTGGTAGAGGAAAATGTCTGTTCTTGTACACATCATGAATTCAGTTCAGGGCTTATTTTTCTCTTCCTCATTGGCAGGCACAAATAACTGTGCTGGATGCTATTTTACATGAGCTCCATCTACGGGCTAGTTATTGTGCTTCAGTTCCAGCAGAATTCAAATGAGCTGCACCGCAGGAACGCTCCACGTGTTTACATCGCTGCGCCACCATCAACTCAGTCACATGCAGAGGATTCAACGTTTAAAACATACTCATTTGGCTGAATTGGACACAAACATATTTAATTAGAAATGCATTTTCTTGGTTTGATACCTACAGAATCAGCAACATAAATGACACACAGATTACAGCACAGTATAAAGTATTAAAGTATGTTTACCTGTGTTTAGAATAAGAGCCCTATATGCCAAATGTCAGGGTGCTGCTCACTTCTGTGCTTTGTGCTGTTCACTGTTCACCCTCAGTTTATGGATTCTTTAACCACACAACAGCAGGCGGGCGAGATCTGGCTCATGAATAATTTGAATGTTGATTTCCAATGAGTACAACAACAATGTTAACCTGATAATGCAACGTGGCAACATACTCCAAACAGAGGCTACTATGCAGAAACACAGTGTGTAGGCTAAGTGCAGAATCTAAGACGCGGTCACATGAGGATTCCAAACACATTTAGATACAGATTCACAGCCATACTAGTTTTTGCAGGAATCTTATTAATTGTATATAGCTGTGTCACAAAATATAGCCATTAACTGCACTCAGACCACCCAGATATTTGTATTTTGATTGGAAGATGAGGCCAGTAGAACACACAGGCATTATAAAAATCTGCTTTCCATTTATGCAGCAGTCCTACTAATAACTGGATTATTGGATTGAATCATTTTCAAGCTGCTCAGTTGATAAAAAAAAAAAGTTCCAAAATGCTTTTTCTTGCTTGTTCCTCCTAAAGTCTTACAATATAATATTTTAAAAGTAGTCTTCCCTGCAATTCTTTAAAACATGATCTTTTAGTAATGTATTTCAAGACTTGCTGTGTGGTGGAGTGTCACAATCTTCTTGAGGCTACATTTGGTGAAATTGGATAATATGCACAATTTCTCAAATTAAAAAAAAGCCCTCAGTTAAAGTTAAACCTTAGGTGCTTTCACGCCGCAGTACTTTTCTCACTTTAGTTCCGATATAGTTCCGAAATGTCGCGTTCACACCAAAAAAAATCCGAAACTAAAATGATTTCATGAGAACCGTTTTACCCCCTTTTCCGTCCCTGCTAGAGAGCAGGGACTTTTGTGGGAGAAAAAGGTTCCCATTTCTGATTGGCTGGGCGGAATGCAAACCACGCCCCGTCACACTCCCAAAAACTTTTGTGAAGCCGCCATTTTGTTATCCTCGCATTGAATTATTAGCATTAGCATTAGCCCAGCGCAGAAACGCAGAGAGACTAACCTTTTTGCAACACAAAATAAAACATGGGAGCGGTGGAGATGAGGAGGTGTCGGCGTTCTGGCGATTTACTCGGAAGGCCAGTCCCCAACTCTTCCGTCCGGGGACTTCGGGTGGCAGTATACGCCGTGAAGTTGTTTGCGGCCTGCCAGTAAACCCAAAGCAGAAGAAGTGACGTCAGCGGCTTCATTTTTCTAATCCTCCCTCAGGGACTTATTCTGGTGTGAACGCGATCTCTACTTAGTTCATGAGAACTAAAGAGTTCTCATGAACTAAGTGTGGGAAAAGTACTGCGGTGTGAAAGTAACTCTTGTGTTCATCACTTATTTCAGCCCATTTTTGCAACAAGCCTAAAACACACTATATGACATTATTAACTTGAATGTTGAATGCTACACATTGTCACTTGTGGTGGCGCACAGTGAGACATTGTTTAAAGAAGCTAAAACACTTCATAGAATTGTGAGGAGTTTTATGAAAACTGTCTGCAAGTTCATCATTACAACCGACAACTTACACATTATGCATAACTATTTGTCACGCAGCTTGAATGAAGGTGGATCATTCAAATTAAATCCTCTCAATCGCAAAAGGTGTACACAGCACGGCACACACAGTGACTTTTAGTTCTCAAAGGAACAGTCCACACTTTGTACTTGGTCTGTTCTGAGAATTGAACCAGCAACCTACGCTTCCTACGCCAAGTCCCTATAGACCCCTGAGAATCTTAGTTGTTGGAATGAATATCATCTACATGTGTGGAGCAATATCACAAAGAGACACCACAGAGATGCACATCACCAACACGTTGAAATGTTTCCCTTCAAATGAAGTTCAGTAACAAATGTCTGACAGCAGTGAGGTGTTGGTGATGTTTAACTTGTTCTGGTGGATCATCATTAGTTTCCCATCATGCATTTGACACTTAATATGTAAATGAGCTGCGTTGAACTGAATTCAAAACGGAGTGTGAGCAGCACCGATCATAGTGTTTGCAGACGACGTTTCTCTCACCATGTTTGAATTTTGGAGTGCTTGTTTTTTTCTTTTGTCCATGAAGTTATTTATTCTTCTTGTTTTTCTTTTCAATGTAAATATATTTATTTTTGATGTGAAGTGAACATTTGGATTGTAAATGTGTGTACAGAATGTGTGGCAGGAATGTATTTCAGATAGGAATGTATCTGAGCGTGGAATTATGGGTGGAAGCCATTTTTTATACACATAGGTAGTTCCTATTATCTGCTTTTATGTTGTTGTTTTTGTTATTGTGGGTTTGCGGCCACAACTTTTTACATCTTTTGTACTTGATTTTGTTTCCAGTTGAAGTTGAACCGTTCATGCAGCAATACACACAGCCGTCTCCAACCTTCCGATGTCAAGACTCCAAAGCCTGTCATAGACACTTCAATGCCAAAAGTAATGTAAATAGTAGGAACAACACACGAGCTCCAGAGACTTGGTCCATCAGTGTTTGTTACCGATCTGTTTTAGCGCTGTCCGACCACGAGTTGGGTCACATCGTGGAGAAACACTTATTTTTCTCCACGAAGGCTGTATTTTACACAGACCTCAGAGCTGTGCCTTTTTCTATGCAATAGTACGCACACACAAAGAGACAGCTGATCACTGGTGATAGGGATCCAACGTGGACTGAAGATGGTATATATTTGTATATATATATGTATATACAAATATATATATATATATATATATAAAGTTTATGAGATGAAAGGACAGCAGTCAATGAATTTGAAACAGTCTTACTTTTTTTGTTATATATAAATATATATATATATATA